AAATCTTAATATTAATATGTTCTCGCTAAATTAGCGTCCCCCAGTCGAGATGAAAGAAAACTTAATTTTGTAACATTTTTGTAAATACCGTTATTTGAATTTATGTTGTCTTCTTTTCAATTTTTTTTTGTCGAAATTTGGCGAACATATTTCTTCTGTCCTGATCTGAAGAAGCCGACCTAACGATGTCGAAACGCGTAATTAAGTAAAGAAAAGAGATTTTCCAATCTGTCAAATTCATCAGAACTTTATTAAATGATTTTTTTTCGTATGGAAAGCAATTCTGCGAGTTATATATATATATATATATATATATATATATATATATATGGAAGGAAGGAAGTAAAATATGGCTTCCTAATTTAGTTGATTAGTCGCCCTTACGTTGTCTATCCGCTGTCTGCTTCTATTTCTGGATAATGTCAGATAATGTCTTTGTTCTATATTTATGTATCGTACAATAGACAATGAACTGTTTTACTGTCTATCACTCCCTTTTCAGATTTTAGCTCTAAGTAAAGCAATTAATTATAGATTCCGACATTTTTATACATCTTTAATAACTCAATCTGTTAAAAAAAGAGAAAGAAAAGTAAAGATAACTACATATGAATAAAGGTGTTTAATTTGGCATTTCTACAGAAACAAGAATATTTTTTTTCATTTTTCGAAGAAGCCCGCGAAATTTCACTTTTTCTTCTTCGTCTTCTACGTGCCGTCAAGACGTAAGTGATCATAGCTCTCCAAAACTTCCTGTCGTCTGTAGCTTTTACTAAATTTTTATCTCTTTGTTATCTATCCTAAACCCTGTTCCGCCATCCATTTATTCACGTTCGCTAAGGGGCTTATACGTTGTTTTCTCTGTATTCAATCAAATTTTCCAAGCCCTCTTTATTTATATTAGCTGTTTTCCTTATGTTATATATGTGTTCTTTTTTTTCTATATTCTCTAAAACTTTGTCGTTGCTCATACGTTCCGCCCAACGTATTCTCAGTATCCTTTTGTAAAACTACAATTCTATTGCTTAATGTCTCTTCTTTATCTGTTAGGAGATTGTCCATTATTTGCCGCCATAGAGGAGAACTGATATTGCATAACAATTCAGCACTCTTTTCTTTATTTCTAATGCTTTTTTTTGCTTCTCAATAATTTGCTTAGCATTTTACGAATATAAAAAAGAAGATAATTTTCTAACTTTAATGCGGTGGGGTTTCAGTTTTCTGGGTAAATTCATTGTAAACTGATCTCCCCTAACGAACCCTCCACAAAAATAACCAACCCAATGCTCATGCTACATTATAATATCAATGGTAATATCAGGACATCCCATAAGTCCTGTCCGAATTTTGAAGAAAGAAAACAAGTGATCAAATCTTACATTTAATTACAGATTCAATCAACAATGTATTTTCCCTGATTATCTATGACTTCCTTCCATCTATTAACAAGCTTACTAATTCCATTACTGTAAAATTCTTTTGGCTTTGATTCGAAGAACTCCCAAATGTCAGTTTTAACCTCTTCCTGTGTTACAAAAACTGTTTCTTCCAAATGATTCTGTAAGCTACGAAACAAATGGTAGTCTGAAGGAGCAAGATCGGGAGAATAACGTGGATGAAAAATTTTCTCCTAACCAAGTTCTTCGATCTTTTGTGACGTGATTCTTGCTGTGCGGGGTCGCGCATTGTCCTGATGAAAATCACCTCTTTTCGATTCACTAGAGCAGGTCTTTTTTCTCAAAGCTTGGTTCAAACGCTCTACTTTCTGGCAGTATATTTGAGCATTAATTATTGCATTAGTTGGTAAGAATTCAAAGTGGATTATTCCTTGGCGATCCCACCAGATTGAAAGAAGAACCTTTTTCCCATGAAGTTCCCTTCTCAGCTGTGGCTGGGGTCCTTCCCCTTTACCAAGCCACTGTCTACAACACTTAACATTTCGATAAAAGATCCATTTTTCGTCGCCAGTCACAAGTATGTTAAAGAAAGGTGAAACAAGTTGGCGAGAATGGAGAGAAGAGCAGATGTCAACTCGGGATTTGACGTTGTTTTCAGACAATTCATGGGGCACCGATTTTCCAAGTTTAGGAACTTTTCCAATTTGTTGAAGATGACGATGAACAGTTGTATGGTTTGAAGTGAGAACCACTGCCAATTCCTCAACTGATAAAGCAGGATTTTCTTCAAGGGCTGCTTCAAGAAGCTTTTCATCAAACTCAACTGGACGTCCGGTTCGATCTTCATCTTCAAGGGTGAAATCTCCACCTCTGAATTTTGCAAATCATCTTCTGCAAGTTCATTCATTCACACATTCCTCTCCATAAACTGAGTGAATGTTTCTAGCCGTTTCAGCTGCTGTGTTTCCTTTCTTGAACTCATAAAGCATTATGTGCCTCAAATGATTCTTGGGTATTTCCATGTTAGCAGGGTTTTAATCAAACAAAATTTAGTTTTATTGTTCTCTGAAATAAAATTTGATCAGTTTAAATGCATCTAAACATAAAAATAATGTTCAGCTCCATTAGACATTATAAAATACTCTTTAAATTTCGTTCATTTTAACAAAAAGTTAAAATTCGGACAGAACTTATGGGATGACCTGATATTAGCCGTATCCTGATAAGGAAACATTCGGCAAATTTATAAAAATTTCTCTTGACACAATTCTTCATTAAAATATGTTTCTCAATTTCAGTAGCTGTTATCACTCTTTCCGCTATTCATGGAGGTTTACTTCCTAAATTTTTATTTGAAGACGCTATCGGTGCCCGCTTCGAGCATCGCGATCGCCATCTCTCTCCTTATCCTCTTCCTTCCATCTGGTGGCGGTCACGAAGATGGCTAAGGCCTAGTCTACACCTGAAGTGTCTTGAGAAGGAGTCACAGAGAAATGTGGTCGGTGGACACAGCTTGGAGTGTCGGGCCCTCCTGTGGTAGCACGTCACAGATCTTCTTCATGCTGACGATTTGAACTCGAAAGTCTCAGTCCATCTCAGATGGTCCTACGCCAGGAAGGCCGATTTGCAACAACGGTTTTCCCCAAGTCTCAGTTAGGTTGTTGATCTGTGTCAAGGATGTATTCGACTGGTCATTGAAGTGTCGTTTTGGGACACTGCGAAGCCTGTTTTCGCTGGCGAGTCCTCCAAATACGTGGGATTTTCGCTTCTCCGCTACCTACGAGCTTCAAAAATTTAAAAGCTACGTCAATCGCCATCTTTTGTCTTGTTGAAACCTGTTCTTTTATTGTCCTGTCTTCTCACGAGTGTTTTCTCATTTTCTTTCACTCGTAGTAACAGCTTGCCTCTTAGTGGCATTATTGCCTTGCTTGCAGTGAAACGAATAAAAAATAGAACCAACACATCCTCTATTTTTTCAAAACAGAATCAAAGATTTGAAATTGGAATAAAAACATTGATGGTGCCTACCTTGAATCCACCATAAAAATTAAAGAATTACTACCAGTCACGATGAACGATGCTCCGTGCTTTGAGAGACTATTGGGCCTTGAATCCACCAATAACCTTAAGTGGAACTCTTGTATACGAGCCATCGCTAATGATTCAGGAAAAATGGTCGGCTTCTGTACTGGTTTAGTAAGTACCTATTCTCTATCTTCACAAGAGCCAGTTAAGGCCGAAAATGAAGCACTGTTGTCGTATTTGGCCGGAAGCTGTCTAGTCCTCACTTTCCAGCATTTATAGAATTCAAAATGTCTTTGAGTTCTTTTGGGTGATGAATTATCTTCCACGCTTCTACTTGTTTCGCATAAGCTGGATTGGGCTTGACTGTCGCTGCTCTATTGCTATTTCCATGGGAAATTTCCGGATGAACTACATTTCTTGGTGCCGTCAGGTCTAATCTTACGGCTAGGACACGCCATATCACTTACATAGTAGCAATTCACTTCATTGTCTCCGTATTCCATTGGTGAGAAGTAAGTTCCGCTCTAAGAGCATTTTTACCGCGAACCACTACTCTTTGAAAAAACGATTCTCAAAAGAATGTTTCCTGATCACTACAATCTTAACCTGTCCAATTATAGGGTTAAACGGTTATCTCCCTCCTATTCCTATGACGTAACCCTCTACGGTGAGTGGGTCCAGGTCTTGTACTGGGTGAACCTTACTGCAAAAAAAAAAGAAAAGTGGGATTAGTAAATAGTAAACACCTCAAACACATCGCTTTATAGATTGCTTATAACAAATTCAGTATCTGAGATAAGAAAACTGATCCTAAACATAGCTGAGCTCAAGTTAGGTCCGCTCAACACCGCAAATTGTTACATAACCAAACCATTAACCTAAAAACTCGAGCTTAGTAATGTATAGCGCCAAACCGGTTCACAAATATCAAAACTCTCAGTTTTATACAATGGCATTGAAAGAGTGAAGCATGCCGGTCTTGGTGAAGACCACATTTCTTTTAATATTGGGGACTGGCGCTACAGAATCACAAACAAAGAACTGTAGCAACTAACAGAAAACATTCAGTGGAGGAACTTCAACAGCCGCAACAACTAAACTCGAAGAGGAAGGAATAAAATAATCAAAATGTTGACTTTCCACGAATAAAATTTAGGAAGAAAAGCCCCTTCAATACTGGAAAAAGCAATAAGAGCTACTGGACTTGAGAAACCTATTTTCCTGAAAGATTTTATAAATATATCCCGACTGCAGCGCTGTCTACTCGGTCAATGAATTCGTATGTTTCCTTATAAGGAAACGGCTAATACTACCATTTCGATTACCACCTATCTGATGTACCTGTTATGAATAATCAAGAGTGGTCTCCCCTCGTTTTGTTACTCTCCTCTTTGAGAGAGCTATTCCTGTTTACTCGGACCAGAAATGGACACTATACGCAAACCTTGTATTCTCAGTTGAATACAGTTTTCTTAAAGCCTACACCTGCGTACTTTTGTCACTACAGTGTCTTTTTGAGAATGTGTCATGATGAGTATATAGGCTTTTGAATATTAATAGGCCAGTGGTACTTTGTAGGCGAACTGGAGTCTCACGTAGTGATATCGAGAAAAGAAGAGCAGGAGGAGAAAAGGAAGAAGGAGGAGAAAAGAAGAGCAGGAGGAGAAAAGGAAGAAGGAGGAGAAAAGGAAGAAGGAGGAGAAAAGAAGAGCAGGAGGAGAAAAGGAAGAAGGAGGAGAAAAGAAGAGCAGGAGGAGAAAAGGAAGAAGGAGGAGAAAAAGAAGAGCAGGAGGAGAAAAGGAAGAAGGAGGAGAAAAGGAAGAAGGAGGAGAAAAGAAGAGCAGGAGGAGAAAAGGAAGAAGGAGGAGAAAAGGAAGAAGGAGGAGAAAAGAAGAGCAGGAGGAGAAAAGGAAGATGGAGGAGAAAAGGAAGAAGAAGGAGAAAAGGAAGAAGGAGGAGAAAAGGAAGAAGGAGGAGAAAAGAAGAGCAGGAGGAGAAAAGGAAGAAGGAGGAGAAAAGGAAGAAGGAGGAGAAAAGAAGAGCAGGGGGAGAAAAGGAAGAAGGAGGAGAAAAGGAAGAAGGAGGAGAAAAGGAAGAAGGAGGAGAAAAGGAAGAGCAGGAGGAGAAAAGGAAGGAGGAGGAGAAAAAACGAAGAAGGAGGAGAAAAGAAGAGCAGGAGAAGAAAAGGAAGAAGGAGGAGAAAAGGAAGAAGGAGGAGAAACGGAAGAAGGAGGAGAAGAAAGAGGAGGAGAAGCGTAGGGAAAAAAGAAAATAAAACGTATTAGCGTAAAATAAGAAACGTGAGAAAAGTGAATGGAAAATTCATAAAAGCAAGAGATGATACAAGAAGAGTTAAAGAAAGGTGAGTTACAATGATGAAAGCAGAGTCAGGACGGAAGAGAAATGAAAAAAAATCCCATAACAACAGCAGGAGAAAGTAGAAGAGAACAGTGGACAGGAGAAGAGAATTAAAATAAAAAGAGCCAAAAACAAAACAAAACAAAAAAAAAATGTTCAAAAAGCTTTCTCGGGGTATTGTGATGCAAATATTGCCATTTATAAATGATATACCATCGCGTTTTACTCGGCTTTTCTCTAATAAAACACTAACACTTCGTCTTAAAGAAAAGTATCGTTGAAATACACCTCCCCTTTTCAGCAGTGTACGGTTTAGATAAATCGATTTAATCTAATTCAGATTTCGAAAAATATTCTTTTAAAGCTAAGAGTTAAAGTAGGAAGCCGAAGGAAATGAGGTCATGAATGATAGAGATGCGAGAACTGTCATTACGCCATGTGAGGAATTTGATTTGAAAACAAATATTTCTCACTACCGACGAATCGATGGCGGACAGAGATATGCGGTAATATCCACACGTTTTTAAAACTTCCAGGATAAAGGGTTTAAAACCACAGATTTGTTTGTTTGTTTGTTTGATCTTTTAGTTAATATGGAATTTAAAAAAAAACAAAAAAACTATTTTTCTTTTAATGTAAATTTCGGAGAGGAAATAGCCGATGCGTTAACTTATTGGCTGGACGAAATAATTATTTGTTCCTGCCAAGGAAAACTATTTTTTCATGAGAACAGGGACAATCGTTGATATAATACACATCCAATCATTGGTGAAAGAAAGAATGCTTCGTCGATGTATTCAGTAACGTAGTGAGCTATAAATGCATATGTACATTTTAATATATATATATATATATATATATATATATATATATATATATGATGAAATTATAGATTTAAGGTGTGCTTAAAAGTGTAAAAGTGCTCAGTATAAGAGATAGAGAATATGTATGTATAAAAGTGGACACTAGGGTCAAACTGAGTGGCAACAGTCTGTTTCATGATTGAGAGAGAGAAGTTAATTTCTGATTTTGTGGGGTATATACACACCTACACTCATAATCAAATATAAAAACACACAAAAACACACACACACACACACACACACACACACACACATATATATATATATATATATAAGTAAAGACAAAAGGAAAACCTTTTATACTAATGCGTTTCGTCCTCTGAGGGACTTCATCAAAGAATAGTTTTCCTTTTGTTTTTATTCAAACTGTCTTTTTACAGATATATTTTATTCATATCTAAATTTCTACACACACACATAAACACGAATATACACGCGCGCGGGCGCACACACACACACACATATATATATATATATATATATATATGTCACACATGGGAATTAAGGTTTCAACATTTGGCTAATCAAAAAGAAGATCGAGAATCTAAGATTTTGGTGAAGTTGAGCCTATCTCTACCGATATAAGCAGAGGATAATTACCATTTCGACAGATAGCAGTATGGCGACGACTTAGAAAGCAACCACATCGACAGACCAGAAATTCACATCTGCACGACACACCGAAGCCATCAATTTCCCTCACTAGAGAAACTTGACACAAGAACTAACGATTAGCTGATATATAATTGGATTTATTTGTATATATATATATATATATATATATATATATATATATATATATATATACTCGCCTAGAAACCACCTTTTGGGCGGGCTTTAAGCTTGTTCTTGTGGAAGGATTTTGGGACTTCTGCCTTTTATCTTCAGCATAAAAGTTATAAGAATTTTAGAAATAATAAAATCATTTTATCTTTATTCATCGCCTTAATTCGGTATAATCTTTCTTCGTATACGCAATCGATCTCCTTAGATTGTTTATATTTATTTTGGGCGAAATTTTTATTTTCTTTTAAAATCACCATTCTTTATGATCTTCTCGCATAAAGTCACTGTTAAAAGACATTATGGACCCGAACTATGTAATATTTCGAATACGTCACAGTACACATGCTACAAAAAAAATATATATATATATATATATATATATATATATATATATATATATATATATATATATATGAGCAACGTACCTTGCCCCGCTTAAGTTTTAATTATAGTTTAATATAAAAGTTTAAATAGTTTAAACTATCAATTGCAATTGTGACGAAAGTGCGAAATTAAAATTAAAGATTTAATAAAAAAAATTTATTTTTTAAACCATTCACTGTTCGATATTTAAATTTAACTTTATTTTTTTTTAAATTTTTAATCATGTGTAATTACAGTAGTTGCTACCTGTTGTGGCGGAATCGAAATGTATTAAATTACAGTAGGGGGGGGGAAGAAGACAAGATGAAGTCTTTAACTGTTTGTTTTGAAGTCCAAACAAGTTAACTTGTATAATTTAAAATTTCCCCTTATTCATGCTCCGTATTTGTAGCGAAACCAAATAACATTTCTTGGCAAGGGAGGTAACCATGGATTAATACATATCCCTCACCTTTTTTTTTAAAGTCCTCTCATCATAAAAAATCTATCAGAAGATCGAACCTTGTGACCATATCAGGTGTGAAGTAACATTAATAGTAAGAAACCCATGGACGTAATGTGGTTCTTCCTCTCTCATTTCTCGAATTTTATATATATTTTTTTTTTGCATAATGTCCTTTTCTAGAACACTTTCGGCAAATGGTATTTTGGGCTGGACAGTCGTTTTGAGTGCATGATGAATATAGTGTACTATATTTATAGTGTACTGTATCATAAACTTCTTTTTATATTTCTTTGGTTTAACTCTGCTAACATTTGATTCTGTTGCATTTGTGCTTGAAAAAATATTTTCTTGGAAATTTCAAAATCTCTTCCTATACTATTTACATTATTCGGACTATTGTCCTCATCTTTGTTGCCATATTTATCACAACGTTTCGGCCGTTGTACGCTTCGACCTTCTTCAGTTGGTTAGAACGTCGAACTGAACTCTTTATTTCGCTCGCTGGGATAGACAGTTCTAGTAACAGGTGCCATATCAGTTATCAGTTATCTCCTGTTAATTCACCTCTCCAAGGTCTTTACTGCCTTAACCAGGTATTGAACTCACAACTCTTTGGCTCCTGTAACTGGATCTAACCAACCCCTTTATCCACTGTGCCATGTGTCCTTAAGGACAGGAGGTAACTGATAACTAACATCCATTAGACATGGCACGTAGAACTAGAAGAGTCTACACCAGCGAGCGAAATGAAGGGTTCAGTTCGACATTCCAACCACCTGAAGAAGGTCGGAGAGTGTTAATTACTTTTTGACCAACAGTATGAAAACTTCTTCACCAATGGGGCCCGAGCATAGCAACACCGATAGAAGATGTCTGCGGACCGCATGAGGGACTATTTTGAAAAATCAATCTTATTTGGTCGAATTCCATGAGAATATATTCGTTAGCATATTAACTGCTAGCCTACCATCGTATCTCCTGTGGATAACATTTTTTCCAACCCTTCTTTCTTCATTTCCTGAAATTTCAAAATGCCCCTTTCTGATTCTAAGTATCCTAAGCGGATATGAGTTCATCATCATTGCGATAGTGATTTACCAGCATAGTAGAGTCTGGGGAACAGATGATAGTCAAACCAAGAGAATAGGGTAGGTGATCAACCAGTTCAAAGCCACAGTTAAACACAGCAGCCATCGAAACCAAGGATTTGTGTCCAGGTTAAACAAGACTCCTTTCGTCAGTTTTGCCGGACATTTGGTCTTGATAGCTTTTCGTAACTGCCTAGGCGAGTTGACATAGTACCCACTATTGAGGGTGTGGTCCTTTTGAAGATAGTCAATAAACTCATTACCTTTTGCGTCCCCAAAAAACTGATTCCATCACCTTTCCTACAGAGCAAACGACCTTAATTTTCTTTGGAGATGGTGAGGATTGGTATGACCCCTGCATTTGAAATTACGAAATGGTAATAACGAAATTCGCAGAAAGTTTTGTTGGAGAAATCCACGAAGGGTACGAAGTTTACAAACTTTATATTGAAAGTCCTTTTCTCTTTTCATTTCCATCAAAAAGTCTTCCTTGTGCCATCCATGGAATTCTCATCATCTTCCTGTAGAGCAATATCCTCTCTTGCTTCAAGTATCCTCTTCATCCTTGTCATTCAGTATTCACTACCATACTGGAGGATGAACAAGACATAACAATTCAGTAAACGGTGGCTGGACAATTCTGGAGGGATGGTGGAGTAATGGATAGCGGCTCGGATTGAAGAATCGGAGAGCCGAGTTCGAATTCCAGTAGAATCCATGACATCCACTTACTTGGAAAAGGTATGAATCCTCTTCTTTTCTCTACGACAATGGCTGAATAAGCAGGGCAGACCAGGTTCTATAGGCTTGGATAGCAACTGGTCTACCGCAGAAAGAAATGGCGAGTTACTACGGGGTAAAAAATTGCCTCGTCAGTCATGTATCGAAACATACATGATCGCTTAAGCCGTGTATCACGCATGATGCATAACTGACTTTTTTTTTCTAACGATATTTTCAATGTTTCACTTTATTATCGGAAGAATCCGATAAAGCGATTCACCTTTGGACTTCTGTGGCACATTTTTCATCCTCTGCAAATAATACCTCCCAGATCGTTCAATTTCTGTACCTGCTTGATTTTGACATCTCCAATACGGAGGGGGGGGGTCGCATCTGGGACTGTTTCTCTTAAAATGAATATTCTGTTACTTATAAATGTTTTTATGGACCTACATGCAGTCGTTTCGTTTCTTGCTGTTCTGTCAGTTGGTGCAAGTGAGAGAAAAGGGAATCAGTCATGTGATTCCATGGTAGAAAAGAGTTATGGTTTAAAATGGGTTATCGATTAAGAAGACTTTGATGATAAGTCACGTTGCGTTTTCTTTTTTAAGTTGGGGTTGAGTTCAGCCCGCGAGACGACGGATCCAACTGACGCATTTGGTATAAGACATATAGACATTTATGTTTTTGAAGACATCAACTGCCAACCCATGGTTGACATCCAATTAGCATGATCGACATTTTAGTGTCGGTCTTATTTAAATCAGGAATGCCTAAAACTATATTCACCATATTGAATTATGTCATTTTATAACATCTTATTCTTTATCTATCTACCTATCTATCACAGTTTGTCATATCTATCTATCTATCTATCTATCTATCTATCTATCTATCTATCTATCTATCTATGAAGAATCACCATCCGTTAAATCTCACCATCTGCGGATTTTCAATCAAGGTGTCACTTATCAGCGGTTGGCCGAAGCTTCCAAGCTAAAACTACATTAAATCTTTGAGCTTCCCGTTCTTGAACAATTTTCCCTGTTCTGCCTGAGCTCCTGAGTCAAAATTCCCAAATAATTGATATGTAATGTTTCACGGTAGATATAAATGTAGTTACAAATGTTTACCAACCGTTCAACCGGTAACTGAGAATTAAGTAATTTTTCTTTACCAACCGTTCAACCGGTAACTGAGAATTAAGTAATTTTTCTTTACCAACCAATCAACCGGTAACTGAGGATTAAGTAATTTTTCTTTACCAACCGTTCAACCGGTAACTGAGGATTAAGTAATTTTTCTTTACCAACCGTTCAACCGGTAACTGAGGATTAGGTAATTTTTCTTTACCAACCGTTCAACCGGTAACTGAGAATTAGGTAATTTTTCTTTACCAACCGTTCAACCGGTAACTGAGAATTAAGTAATTTTTCTTTACCAGCCGTTCAACCGGCAACTGAGAATTACGTAATTTTTCTTTACCAACCGTTCAACCGGTAACTAAGAATTAAGTAATTTTTCTTTACCAACCGTTCAACCAGTAACTGAGAATTAAGTAATTTTTCTTTACCAACCGTTCAACCGGTAACTGAGAATTAAGTAATTTTTCTTTACCACTGTTCAATCGGCAGCTGGGCATTACGTCATTTTTTTCTGCGATGGTAAGGGTTCAAAGGGTTAAAGCGTAAAGCACAAACTAAAACTTATTTTAATGCAAAACCGTTTTTTATATATAAAAGTATAGTCAATTCAATGACCTCATAGTGATCATAGGTTAAATATTCAAAACCTGAAAAAAGAAAAATTTATTTTAAAAAAATTGATCATTGTAATATTTTTGCGAAATTCATTCATAGTTTGTTTTTTTTTTGTTTTTTTCTCACATAAGTTAAATGCATTTTGACATATTCATTTTGTAAGGAAGAAGTTCAAACTCAGACAGTATCTTTCCAAGAATCGCTACGTTTTGAAACAGACTTCCGCCTGGATGCTATCCTGAACACTCAAATCTCATCATGTCTACCGACAATCTATTCTCCATATGATCACACTCTTCAACTCTACTTCCTCTTCTTAAGATCATATCACACCCCTCACTCAGTAACCATCTACTTTGAGGGGCTCTTGAGGTTTGCATTCGGTGTAAATATGAATAAACTCTGGGTATGACGATAAACTACACCCGGCAGCAAGGCTTCTGAACGAGGGATTGGAATTTTTAAGATAGAATTTTTTAAGATATATATATATATATATATATATATATATATATATATATATATATATATATATATATATATATATATATATATATATATATATATATATATATATATATATATAAATTAGAAAGAAATAAGAGATGGAATAAAATTTCACTGTTCGTAACATTTGCTTTAAAAAGTTCTCAGTACAAAGTAGAGCAATA